GACTATTTCACATCTACCGCTTGTCGTGCCAGCGATAACTAACGACCAAATGGAAACTAGGCTTTAGTGAAGAAACATGATGTACAATGGGCGCTGTTATTTGAAAGGCTTCCACAAACACCTTTTGAATTTGCAACATTTTTCGGCTATCGAATGTCTGGAGTTATAGGCTTTAATTTACTTTTTTGTATGCACTTGTTTGATATGGTAATAATTGGCATTTACTCAGTCAACACAAAATAATATCTTTAGCAATGAATTTGAAATTAATAACACTCTAAAATCAGGTTAATGTTTTCACAGATTTCCATGTTGATATGAAAAAAACAACGGCCAGCAATTTGTGCTGTTTTATTTGCAACTGTTGACACAGCCTATGGCGCCTTACAGTCTATACCAGGTTTGGTAAGTTTGATGAATAATTAGGCCAAATCGTCATCAACCTTCATCGAAACCCTGGATACGAGGATGAATCGTCATTAGTGCCGTTTAGAAAACAAAGAAAACAAAAGGCCAAGACAAAGAAAACAAAGACCTAGCGTGACGGTGTTTGGCCTAATTATTCAGCAAACCTACCAACCCTGGTCATACGAAGAAGCCCTTACAGAGACAGATACGATTGACAAGTGATGTCGATTTCATTGGATGAAAATATATGCAAACAGAAGCATATGGACATAAGCATAAGTCTAAAGATCTAAATTGCGTCCTCGGAATTAAACATATACATTTTGCTTTACAAACTTAACAGGCACTCTAAAAATATAACAAACCGAAGATAAGCATCTTGAAACCCAAGATATGGATTAAAAACAAGACGAGAATGAGTTTGTGTGATATTTAAATTTTATTGCAAAATCACAATCAGACAGACTAAAGTTACAATATAATACACGGTCTTGTATAAATCTTTGATCACATGCATGACATCATTACAAGGGAATTTGTTGGCAAGACTCTGATTATGGAAAGTATTATGAAAAGATTAAGAAAACAGGACAAGTTTCCTGTTGGCTTTGAGACCAGAATTAAGAGAAGGGAAAATAAATTCTATTTATAGTGCTTTAAGGAATAAAAGGAAGTTAGATGTGCTAGAGTTAGCGTTGTGAAGGATTTGTACAATATCACAAATTACGTTTGCGATTATTGTCAAGGGACGTGTGTTAACATGTATGCATGGTGTCAGCTTATGATGTGTTCGTATTCATAGTTGTAAAAATGAAGTCTAGTTTGTTATGTTCGAAAAGTCGTTTCTGTAGGCATCCTTTGGTTTGATCAACAACACTCCGCATTTTCAATAATCCGCAAATTCAACACTCCGCATTTTCAACATTCCGCAAATTCAACACTCCGCAGTCCGCAGACTGTAAGTACCGGAGTATTAAATTGCCAGATCTTTTTTTCTTGGGCGACACGAGTGTGCACTTCCACAGGTGCACCGTGCACAACGCACAACAAAAATGATGTGAAATATTAAAAATAGCCGCGTAAAAGTATAAATGATCACTAGGAGGATATGTTTAAAACAATCTAAGCGTTTGACAATAACAAACTTACAGTTACAGCCTATAACAAATTAAAACAATAATCAATCTATAAACAAAATATCAACATAACAACTTATGAGTTACACGGTAAAACCCAGCGTATAAGAACCTAGATTTTAAGAACCTGATAGGCTATAAAATTGCTTATTCAGACCCCCTTTATATAAGAACATGTTTAGGCTAAATAAGGCTAAAACGACCCAGAAGTCGGACTCCTGGATATGTCATAACAATAAACAGTATATACTTGCGATAGATGAACCAGACGGAAATCCCAGCAGAAAATACGTAAAAGAGCCATAGTTTAAAATGTTTATTAGAAAACTAACGTTCCGTCTTTAACTTAAGACATCTTCAGAGCAATGACATACAAAGCGGAAAACATAGAAGTATGAATAAATTACAACTATTAACAAGATATTATATTACAAAAGTAGAAAAAGGGATGGATCAGAGTAGAAGTAGAGGGACCGAACTGCCTTGTAAGTTGCGAGAGAGTTTGAGTTTGTTAATGAGAAGACTCTCTCGAACGAGGAGTTCGTCTGGAGAAGAGCAACAAGAAGTAATCTTAAAATCATTAAGAGAGGCGGTGTGGTCAGTGCTATCAAGTTGGGAAAGGATACTAGACATGGCCGGATTACTGCTTTTACTGCCTGTTAGAGGAGAAACACCCAAGTGTTCGCAGATACTTGTGTGTGCAAGTGACGGACCGTTCGGCCCAAATAGGTTGCGGACCAGCAACGACATGTTTTCCGCTTTGTGTGTCATTGCTCTGAAGATGTTTTAAGTTAAAGACGAAATGTTAGCTTTCTAATAAATATTCTAAACTATATTTTTGTTATGGCTCTTTTACGTATTTTCTGCTGGCATTAATATTTATCTTAATAAATAGTATGTCTGTTTGAACACATCAACAAAAAATAACTGTACCTACACCAACCGAAATTGATTCGCTTTTTCTTTGGAAAATATAAGAACCTGTTTAGGCTAACTTGAAAAATCTAGGTTCTTATACGCGGGGTCTTACTGTATGTCTTTAATATGAACTTATATTACTGCCATGCATTGAAAAAGTGTTGATAACTATTATGTAATATTATACGTTAGCTATTTTTAGCAATTCAGTATTTCATAACCATGATTATTAAATGTTGCACAGGAGTTCAGGAATTTGCTGAATAGTGTTGTGGCATGGACCATAAAATATTTGTAAAATACGATCCTCGACTATTTACCCTCGACATTGGACTCTCGACATTGGACCCTCAATACCCGACACTCGACAAGCCTTTCTGTAATCCAGGCATACTATTTAGAGATACATGTAGTTACATTGTACAAAATTAAAGCACTGGTAGAGATATTATCTGTCACTGTCTATTTTTATTTTATAAAATATTATGGTTATTGTTTCTTAATATGTTTTGGGTCACTAGATGAAGTGGTCACGCTGTACTCGCTTTGATTTAAAAATTTTAGCTTTAGCCAAAATGAACCAAAATTGTTGGTGAACTTGGTTACTAAGATGCATTCGTATTTTAATTAACATAAGTAAAGGACCAACAAGTATATTTTTATGACTGGTGTGGGGGCCGAAGATAAAGTACTTTCGAGCAGGAAAATCTTTACCCCACCTTTTTGCAGAAAAATTTCTAGCTAGAAAAAATTTTACTCCACCCAAACCTGTTTCGTCAAGTGGATGGTCTTGGCATAAGATCCTAAAGCTAATCTGTTGTTAGATAAATTAAAACAATATGAATATCGATAGGGTACTTTCACCATATTTGCCGTAATAATAAAAAGGAATGGGATTTCATAATTGGCAAACCTGTTAACATGCAACTCCCCTCCTCTCATAAAATGTCAAAATCAGACAAGTGGGGAGTGCCAGGAGACATTGCACCTTGTTAATTATGGTTTACCCTTAGAAGCCAAAATTAATACCACATTGAAGAGCCAAAAGCTTGAAAGCCAAAATTAATACCACATTGAAGAAAATGATTTATACACATTGTCGGCCAGACATCTAACTCATCTACATGCATGCCATGGCACAATATATGTATTTCAAATGCTTTCAACACTTATCCCATACCTCATCTGTTTCCGACTTACAATTTCACTGCAATTTTTTATTTCTTGCACACTGCTGTCTTTCTTACGCAAATTTATTGTCAAATTATAGTGTGTTCAGTATCTAAATTTCCTCTGAAATGCCTTTAAAATTTCCTTGCCATTTAGAAGAGTCCATGAAATTAATTCGGCATTTTTAAAGGAATTTCTTTAGAATTCCTGCGAAATTTCTGAGGTTTTTTAGTCTAATAGCTTGTAATCAATACTAAAACAAACATGTCACATTTCAGTAGATTTAGAATGATGTTGAAAAATATTGTTGTTCAACAGTGTGAAGAAAATGGTAGATCCCAAGTATAATTATATAAGCAATTAAAATCATTTTTACCATCTCAGCAACGAACCAATTGAACGTGTGACCACGCACGTTGATTAAATGGTCTGCGCAGATCATCAGTTGCATTTTCGCAGACGAAATTGCACCCATATATGACAGATATCCGTTGTCATCGTTCACTCTGTCTCGCTATGGTTATAGGATCATTTATCTTATGCCAATCAGATATGGGCTCTGCAAGCCTGTTTACACTTTCTTGCTCTCTTGGAAGGTGATTTTTTCTGTGTTGGTGTAATGTACTCAGGTGAATATGATGCTTGTGATGTTACTCTAAGTGCATATCCACACCGGGCAAGCTTGAAAAATATGCCTGTCCACGGTGGGAATCGAACCTACGACCTTTGGAATACTAGCCCAATGCTCTAGGTTCGATTCCCACCGTGGACAGGCATATCTTTCAAGTTTGCGGTGTGGATATACACTCAGAGTAATATCACAAGCATCTCTTGGAAGGTGTTCAGAAATTTAGTTAAATTCAGCCTTCAAGATTTTGGCAGGGGCCCTAGGTGTCTTAGGAAACTAAATTTGCTTCCAATATCTTATTGGCTGGAAATAAAGAATCTTCTCTTCTTTATGATCTAGTCAGAGGAGGAATGAGGGTCTTCCCGAAATGCAACGCGCGAATCAGTGCGGTCATTATTATTCAAGCTATTTATTCTCAACGCGCCGTTCGATTAAAAACTGTTGAAATATATTGCGATTTTTGCCGTGAAGATCTCGTTTTCTCAAAGGTATGTTTCGTTAACCTTTTTGTTTAGTTATTTAATAAAAGAAGTTTTGAATAATTTTGTATATATATTGCATTTTACTTGTGTTAAATTCCCATTGTATTTATGCATGTTTTGGGTGTTGGAAAAGTGGCCTTGAAATATTCTGGAGTAAATTGTACTTTTTTACAAGGAAACTAAAATAAAATGACATCAGTGAATTCAGGAATGTTTACTCTTTATATTGATACTTTAAAACATGAATTTACTCTATAAAACCGAAAAGTTATCGCTGTTTGAAAATGAGCTATTTTTGCTATTATCGATAATTAGTAAAAATAGCTCACTTTCAAATCGCGATAACTCTTCGGTTTTATGGAGTAAATTCATGTTTTAAAGTATCAATATAAAGAGTAAACATTCCTGAATTCACTGATGTCATTTTATTTTAGTTTCCTTGTAAACAAGTACAATTTACTCCAGAATATTTCAAGGCCACTTTTCCAACACCCAAAACAGGCATAAAATACAATGGGAATTTAACATAAGTAAAATGCGATATATATACAAAATTATTCGAAACTTCTTTTATTAAATAACTAAACAAAAAGGTTATCAAAACATACCTTTGAGAAAACGAGATCTTCACGGCAAAAATCGCAATATATTTCAACAGTTTTTAATCGAACGGCGCGTTGAGAATAAATAGCTTGAATAATAATGAGCCGCACTGATTTGCGCGCGTTGCATTTCGGGAAGACCCTCATTCCTCCTCTGGTGTGAAAAATTCCAAGGCATTACAATTTTTGCCCGTTTGCGCCTTATCTTGCGCTTATCTTGTTTTTTTCCTTCTTCGTTCTTGTGCCTTCGTTCAGAACGAATATCTTGGCAAAATTCGTCGTGAACTCCGTTCTGAACGAAGGCAGAATTAAAGGTGGATGTAAAGTCTGTAATGTAAACAAACGCTTTGTTTACATTTTGAACTCAGTGCTACAGTTGTAAAATATGATTAGATATATATTATACTGAATTTTTGAACACTCTTGCGGTTCGCTATGCTTGTAAATGAATGCAGACTAGAGATTCAATTGACCATTTGCGTAATAGACTAAATTTTGATCTAAACAAGTCTAGACAAAAATTTCATCGCATCTTGAAAGAGCATCACAAAATTAGTAATATTCTAAAGTTTCGTTGCGAAATGTTGTAAAATGTGGAAAATATAGCCTTGCGAAGTTTGCAATTTTCAGTCATTTTAGATTACAAACGGGAAATTGACAGCCTCAATGGGTTTGGGGCAACAATTTCCCATTTGTAATCTAAAATGACTGAAAATTGCAAACTTCGCAAGGCTATATTTTCCGCATTTTACAACATTTCGCAACGAAACTTTGGAATATTACTAATTTTGTGATGCTCTTTCAAGCTGTGATGAAATTTTTGTTGAGATCAAAATTTAGTCTGTTACGCAAATGGTCAATTCAAGAAAGTTCGGAAGGTGCGAAATATTAACAACATTCCAAAGGATTCCCCACTGATGGAATGTGTTGATGCGCAGAATATATGCGCAGAACGGACTTTACAGCATCTTTAAGAAGCCTATTTTCCGAGGCGGAAAATAATCGAATGGCGACTGATAATTCTGCCTAATAGGGCGGCCTGGTATTGAATTGGGCGGAAGTTTTGTTTAATTTCAACCCTGCATTGTGTATTTACCAAAACCAACGCGACAAGCGGTCTGTTTATATGAACAGGCCGGGACAAGCGCTCTGTTTCTATGAATCGAGACATCGAGTTACTCGGCATTTCCCGCTTATTTGCTGACTTGACACCAAAATGGCGCCAAAACACAGAAAAGATTTAAGTCGTTTGAAACGTTAATAAAACACAACAAAATACACTAAAATACAGGAATAAGCGACGGCTAATAGAGAGGTTAAAATACCCCTGGACCGGGCTTGGTACGGGTAGCGTCATTTAATTTAGTGTAGTAATTTGCATCGATATCTATGTGTACTCGTAGTTTCTGTTCATTTTTTTTCGCAGTACATAGGTAAAAACGCACAAGTTGTAACAAAGCTGCTGCAGACTTGTAGCATTGCTGTTCCAACAACTTGTCAACAGGATGTGTTCGCACTGCTTGTTCCCAGCTTGTTGACAAGTTCTCGACGAGTTGTTGGCAACTTGCTACAAGGTTGTTGAGCTCAACAGACTTATTACAACTTGTTCCAACAACTTGTGGAACAACTTGTTATCGTCCTGCAATTCAACAATTTGTCAACAAGTTGCGAGTGATAACCTTGTAGCAACTTGATAAAATAACAGCATTGTCATAACTTGTCAACAAACTTGCAACAAGCATGTCGCGAACACATCTTGTTGACAAGTTGTGAGATTTTTACATGTGTAGACCATAGTCTATCGCAACAAACAGAAAAAGTATGATCAAACATGCATTTCTAAAAACAAAATGGAACTACCCGTAAAGCGGAACCGGGGTCTATTAACCTCTCTATTATATTTCGAGTTAACCGTTTGTGTCATGTGACAGACTGACTGTCACTTGGGAAGTTTCCACAATAGCCCTGATCTCGCTGTTGCCAAGTAACGGCCTGTTTAAAGCAATGATCAGTATTTCTAGATCAGTGGGTAAAAGTACACGCGTAAAATGCACAAGTTGTTACAAGTCTGCAAACACTAAGTTGTCAACAAGTTGTGTTCGCACTGCTTGTTCCCAGTTGTTGCAACAAGTTTGTATCAAGCTGTTAACAACTTGTAACAAGCTTGATGGCATTATCAGACTTGTCACACGGTTGACCACACAAGGTTGTAACAATACTGCTATATTATGACTGTATCGAACTTGTTGAAACAACCTTGCAACAAGCCTGATAATATCAACAAGGTTGTTACAAATTGTTAACAGCTTGTTCCAAACTTGTTGACAACTTGTGACAAACAGTGCGAAGACAACTTGTTGACGGCTTGTTGACAAACTTGTTGCAAGATGCGAGATTTTTGCGTATGTAGTCCGGGAAACTCACTTTAGTGAAATCTGCATGCCCTTTGTTAACGCATATAAAATTCAATATGTGTTCATATATGAAAAAACAAGCCAGCTAGCCCGTGAGGCGAGATCTCATCTTGTGCTAGGTGGGATTTTAGTCAAGTGGGGTAAAATTTTCCATAGTATAATAGGAAGGCATTATCACGCCTGACTAATATAGTATTGAACGACATAGACGCAGTTTGAGAATAAAAACAAAAAATAAACATTTAAACTAGAAGTTACTATTGCAAGTGAAATGCTGCCTACAGCCATCAATGTAGAAATTCTGTATATCGCATCGTGTGAGTTGTGTCTGAAGTTTTCGCAGTGAGTTTTCTGATCTATCGAGTTTTCGGGCCTTGCCACTAATTTGCAAAGACACGATTAAAATCGTAATACAACGTACAGTTTGCAACAAAAAATATTTCCAAGACCGTCATGTTTACATAAAGTCATCCCATGCACAAAAACAGGGTATTACGTGGGGGGGGGGGGGGGGCAAAGGGGGGGG